TTCGGGAAGTGAAGGGCGGGGTATAAATCCAATCTCTTCTTCTTCTTCTTCTTCGTGGGCCTTCCAACAGGGTAATGTTTCCGTGCAGACCACTTAATCCAGGGGCATCGAACTCATTTGTTATGAGGGCCGGATCTGACATAAATGAGACCTTGTTGGCCCGGGCCATGTGTGTCATGAAATGTAATGCCAGGTAGCGGAGATATAAACTCTATAAAGGACACAAACACAAAGGGGTTTTTTTTTACTTAAAATATAAGCATGCTTAAAACATTAGCACTCTTGCAAGATTTTGGTTCTTTAACAGTGTCTGATAACTGACACCTCTTGCCCTGAATTATTGCAACAAAATGTCTGTGCTGTTGCAATCGTGACTATGCTGTTCAGGTGTGTCTCTGTAAGTACGATGACGCAGCAGCAGCAGAACTGGAAGAAGAAGCAGAAGACACCCAGTTCCACTGTGGGCCTGATAGAAGTCCTCTGGGGGCCTAGTCCGGCCCCCGGGCCGCATGTTTGACACCCTGACTTAATCCCTGTAGGAAAAGAACTGCGCTGTTTTAAAGGTGGTAAAAGGGCATAATTGGCCATCGGTCTGCATCTAGACTAGACTGGATCCTTCCCACACTTCACAAACCAAGTGACGTGCTCAGAGTTTTCAAGTGGACACATCGGAGTTCGTGTGATGCTGTTGTTCAATTCGGAATCTCTTGGAGGCAAACCTATTGGGGGTTCTTTTTTAAAAAAAACTGATTTGTAGTAAAAGCCTTAATAAAAAGTTATGTTGGCTTTTTAATGTTTAATTATTATTATTCATATTTACAAAATCCATACGCCGCCTTTCTGTCCTCATAAGGGCCACCGAAGTGGCTAACAAATCAGCAGCACGCGTAATAAAAAAAACAAAAACCATTCAAACCGACAAAAATAGTGCATTTAAATTTAAAACCGGAGCTTAAAATACACATAGGTAAAGGTAAAGGTTCCCTTGCTTGAAAGCCAGTCGAGTCCGACTCTAGGGTTGCGGTGCTCATCTCCGTTTCAAAGCCTAAGAGCGAGCGCTGTCCAAAGACGTTTCCGTGGTCATGTGGCCGGCATGACTAGACGCCGAGGTGCACGGAATGCTGTTACCTTCCCACCGAAGCGGTACCTATTTATCTACTTGCAATTTCTTGCTTTCGAACTGCTAGGTTGGCAGGAGCTGGAACAAGGGGGAACCAGGTCAAGTGCTGACAAAATGTGGAGCGAATGCCAGATGCAGAATGGACCCCTGTCTCGGTAATGTAGGCGGTGTCTAAAGAGCAAGGGCTTAAAGTGGACTAATAGCTGGCCGGCTGAATCCATCCTTTGCCTCAAAGAATTAAGGAACTGGGGGCCATCCGCTGCCCCCTGGACTCACTTTCACCTTCATTTGCAGAATGCAACCAGATGGCACTGAACTACTGACCTTCCACATACAAAATACACATACAAAAACATAAAAACTACAATTTCTACATTGGGCGGGTATGAGGGATCCCTGGGGGAATGCCAAAACGAAACCAAAAAAAGTCTTCACCTGCTGTCATGTTAGTCCCAGACCATATAGGGTTTCATTTATTTATTTTATTTTATTTATATCCCACCCTATCCCACACACGGGCTCAGGGCAGGTAACAGGATATAGGTTAACAAACATAAAAGTATTAAACATAAAGTTTAAAACAAGTTTAAATGAACAGGTAGGAGCAAGAATGGCACTACAAGAGGGTAAAGGTGAACAGAAGAGATTTCAGGGCGTGATAGAAACACCTGATGGCTACCTTCATTTTGGGGCTGGGTACGCTCAGGGCTATTTTTGGGCAGGAACGCACAGGAACGGAGTTCCGGCTGGCTCCCAAGTTGGCCACGCCCAGCAGGAACTCATTAGCATAGTAGGCCACACCCAACAGCAGGAACTCATTAGGATTGGCTGCATTAGGGGCGTGTGGCCTAACATGCAAAGGAGTTCCTGCCAGGAAAAACTACATACCAATGCAGGAGCGAGTGGTGACAACAAAATAGATAACAAGCTGACACGAGCCAATGCAGAAACCAGGAGGCAATGCAATGAAAACAGATATTCCGAGGCAAGGG